ATGCGGATGCTCACATCAAACACCCAACCAGTTTTCCAGAAGAGCAGGTTACAAATAGATGGATAACGACTAATAATTTTAAAAATCCATCCAACTGGCCTATTCACTTTAAAAGGGAAATCTCACTTAAATTCCCAAAAGGTAGGTTTTCAACAAATGTATCCATTGGTCAAGCTCCAAATCCCCACCAATGCATTAGTCTCCAAATTTCCAACTCACCTGGAAGTGAGTGCCTCCTTTCCATGACAAACCAGTAATCGTAACTCTGAAGTTCCATGAACCAACTTTTTATTTAAATATCTAGTGAAATATTCATCAACAGAATGAAGATGCAAAGCTGCTCTGCTGCTCTCAGGCATACAAAAGGGAATTTGATGAATGAGGAGACATACAAGCGTTTCAATGTTGGCTTCATTTGCCCTCTTCAGCCCAAGTGCATCAGGGTTATTGGACACCACCAGAACAATGTTGGCGTGCCGAATCACACCGCTCTGCACGGCATCAATGAGGGCCTGAAGAAGAAAATGCAATCTGATTTTTGCATATCCATAAAGAAAGCCTTTTAATCAACACCAAAAACAAAACCAGCCTGGAGGCTGCTAAGCTACATCACGTAAACAACTTCCATGCATCTTGCTCCAGCAACTACTTCCTTGAGCTCATTGGTTCTCATTGTACCTTATGTCTCAATGTTAACTTTTGAGTCTTCTTGGTCCTACTGGAACAGGAAGGCACGCTGGAGGCGTGATTGCAAGAGGTAAAGAGAGGAATGAGGGAGAAATCACCTGGAGATTGGTCCCAGTACCAGAGATGAAGACAGCTACATGTTTCACATTCACGGATGAGAAGGATTCCACAAAGGGAGGAATGAAAGGGGACATGCCACTTCCCAGGGCCTCCGACAAGTGCTTTATATCCACTCCATGCTCCATATGATCTGAATGCCACAGTCACAATAGATGTTCCAAATATCATCCAACCTAACGTATCAACTCCATACTGTGGTTGACTCAAACAAGGCAAGAAAAGACCAAACATAAAGGTATTCTTGTAAGGGAGACTTTGATTTACTTTTAGATATGCAGTGGATCAGACAGATTAAGTCACCAGGAAATAGCGCTGCCACATTTTATTTCATCAGAGAACTCAGATATGAACTCCGCTCTTTCTGAAGGACAACTCTTGCCCATTTGGATGTGAAAACTAGGGCTGTCACG